GCGACTTCGGCGATGATTTTGTAAGAAAGGTTTGCTCCCCACACCGGAGCTCGCGCTATTCCGCCGACTTTACTTGACACTTGACTGACTCACGACTGCCATCCAGAGCACACGAGAAGTCCATCGAACCTTCGACTCGGCAAACCTGCAAGAAAGCACCACTCCCTGCTCAATACACAGTGTTTCGGGGAATTCACCCCTCATCAGTTGAGCTTGAGTAGGCTGAGGAAGATTGTGCCTGAAGAGCACCACTTATAAAGTTATATAGTGCTCTCCAGGCACAAACATCACCAGGGATACAAACTTACAGAGACGCTCCGCTTCCAGCGCGACAAACACCTCGTGAACACCAGATAGCAGCGTGAGTCAGTGTCGCTCCGGGACGGTGAGACAGACGTCGAGGACCCTCGGTCATTCGCAACGCTGTCACCTCCAAACCAACTAGTCGCCAGCCCGCGCTGGGCACAACAGTACGAAGGAATAGCGCGAGCTCCGGTGTGGGGAGCAAACCTTTCTTACAAAATCATCGCCAAAGTCGCAACCACTACTTCGTACTGTTGTGCCCAGCGCGGGCTGGCGACTAGTTGGTTTGGAGGTGACAGCGTTGCGAATGACCGAGGGTCCTCGACGTCTGTCTCACCGTCCAGGAGCGACACTGACTCACGCTGCTATCTGGTGTTCACGAGGTGTTTGTCGCGCTGGAAGCGGAGCGTCTCTGTAAGTTTGTATCCCTGGTGATGTTTGTGCCTGGAGAGCACTATACATGTATAAGTGGTGCTCTTCAGGCACAATCTTCCTCAGCCTACTCAAGCTCAACTGATGAGGGGTGAATTCCCCGAACCACTGTGTATTGAGCAGGGAGTGGTGCTTTCTTGCAGGTTTGCCGAGTCGAAGGTTCGATGGACTTCTCGTGTGCTCTGGATGGCAGTCGTGAGTCAGTCAAGTGTCAAGTAAAGTCGGCGGAATAGCGCGAGCTCCGGTGTGGGGAGCAAACCTTTCTTACAAAATCATCGCCGAAGTCGCAACCACTACTTCGTAATAATAATAATAATCGTAAAATGGCAATAAATAAGATAAATTGTGCACTCATAACAACAGCAAAAATGAAGAAAGTCAAGTTCCATAACGTTTTCTTGTGACTGTCATCAGTGGAACGCCGTCACATAAAATTCACACAGTATCACATTCATCTGCCACTACCTTTCTCACATACACTATATTCACACATTGCAAAGGTGCAAACTTCGCTTTTTGTACTTGTTAGCTGCTGTATTTCTACCTGAAACCATATTAGCTACATGTATATAAGTGTGTGTTTTAGTTATTACATTTTTATGTGACGGCGTTCCACTGATGACAGTCACAAGAAAACGTTACGGAACTTGACTTTCTTCATTTTTGCTGTTGTTATGAGTGCACAATTTATCTTATTTATTGCCATTTTATGACTATTGTCTCCTCGTCGATTGTTTAAATAATAATAATAATAATAATAATAAACTGCAAGAAAGGTTTTTCCTATTGAGCTACCAATATTTAATAACGTTGTAACCCGTCTATCAAATTTTGATAATGTGCAGTAAAACCTGTCAAGGCGACCACTTGGATAAGGGGGCCACTTGTCCTAAAAGACCACTGAAACCAGGACCAAAGGATGCTACACTGCCTTCTGCGCGTTGTACAGATGCACGAAATCCCGTAGAATCCCGTAGAACCTAATGGGTGTTGAATGTGCAGGACCCTATTGTGTTTTCTGCTATTTCCACTGAGAAATAGGCCTTGAAGGCATTTCAAACGAAAATCTTTTCTGACAAAGATCTAGCTAGTCATTAGTTCTAACCAAAGTGAAGAAGCTGGAAAAAGGAATTGTTTGCCATCAATTATGACTTATGAGGCTGAAATTGGTCAAATGCGCATGCATAGCACACAATGAACACCCAACCGGGTCTGTACACCAGGTACACACCTACGCCCTACAGTTAGGGTCCAGCGGATAATGCCGGCATTATACGACTATCCGAGCATTATGGAGCATTAGAAAGGAACAAAACGAGCATTATGTGAGGTTTGAGCGGCATAACGAGTTTCATAGTGGATAATATCGGGAAATCCCAGCTTTTTGGCAACAATCAGCTACAATCATGATCATGAGATGTTGCCTGATGATTGGTTTTTGCCATGAAACTCTGAGTAACAACGAAACCGCCCTATTTTACTCCTTTTGTGTACCTCTTGCGTACTACGCTCCGCCCATTCCGGGCATTTGAGCACTATGCATTGTACCGGCGCATGACTTTGTGTAGTAACACCTTTAGCACTAACGCTACATAACTATTGCTACATAAAAACGTTATGATTGTAGCGATGTGGTCAGGTAAATGTATACAAGCCATTTGTGAAGCATGCCCAACCAAGGCCGAGGCAGTTCAAGTGACACAAATCCAGAGAAATTATTCACGAGGTTTCTTTTACTTTTAGAATAATGGAGAGCTATGGAGGAGCCATACGCGAAGTGAACATCAAACAGACGAAGAAGAGTTTTCTAGTTGTGTCAGAGGCTCTGGCGATAGCATCTCTAGCGATACTGAAGCAGACACTGATGCATTGCTAAATTTGGACCAGGATGAAGGAGCGGCTATAAACAGAAAGAGCTCGTTCCAAAAGAACTGCCTTTTGCCGAGTCCAGCTCAGGAGGCTCGAAAAGAACTCGAATTTCTCATGGACTCAGTACCAAGTCGATTGCTCAGCAGCGCCTGTCTTACTTTCCTGATGAAGCACGTACAGTTCGTTGTGGACGGTTGTAATGCCAGGCCTACAGTCAAATGCTATCAGAAAGGAAGAGTATTGTGGCAAGCCATACGTCTACACACCATCTCAAGGAGAAGATGAGAGCACAAGCAAAGGATGTAGAGTGGCAAAATAACTTCTGACCACGTGTTGTCAGGATTTCCGCAAATGGGAGGGCTCTCCATCTGAGATCGGATCTCAGGAGCTGGCCTCACGTCTGGCGTTTCAGATGAAAACATTATTCACAGAGTGGACGCAGTGACAGCTTGTCTGCAGGCAGGAATACTATTTTCCAAGATTAACTTCATCCCAACAATGAATGACTACCTGCAATAAGGGTTTCATCTCTCACTACATGGATAATTAGGGGAAAGATTTGATACACCGACTATTCTGCCACAATCCTGCATCAAAGTTGGAATGGAGAGCAATCAATGGCGAAGCGATCATGTCTTGTAGTGCTAAGAAGTGGTGGCGCTCGTGAGAGATAAGGTGGCAACTTCAGATGCGGATCGACGATATGCATAATTTCCTGGAAGTTTGACAATGTGCAGACTTTCTTCCATTTATGTCCCAAACCAAGAGCATTATATCCCTTGCTGAAGCATTATAATCAGCATTATAAGGCAGTTTTTGGAGCATTATGGTTAGCATTATACGAACATTTTCGGAGCATTATCCGCTAGACCCTACCTACAGTCCATTCAGAAAAGGATGATATCCTAGCTTTTGGCCATAAATGGGTCAAATTTTGAGTTTTTGTCACAATTGTTTTGGCAATCCCCCATGGAATGCTCTTCCAATTGTGTTTTTGAAGTCTATTTCTCCAAAAAGAAAGCCATAACAAGAATAGGATTTCGGCCAGGTTTTGCCCCCAAAGCACTGAATTGGGGAAAAGCCATGAAAATCCAACCTGTGCACTCCACTTGCAGAGCAGTACATTTGCGGTTCAAAACCCAGTTGAGGTACCTCTTGTAGCGACCTGACTCGCTGAGTATTACGTCATTCTACAACCAGGCAGGCACAGTGGGTTGGTCAAAGACCATGATTGAGATACGAGAGGTACCTACCTGGTTCAAGTTAGGCACCGGCGGATAATGCTAGCATAATAACTAGCATAATGACCCATGTGGGGAAGACCGGCACTGCCCTAGCATAAAGCCTCCAAATGTGACCTTGTCTAGCACAATCGATGTGTGAAACTAGCACTACGTCCAGATGAAAGTGTATGCTGGATGCCACCGTTGCCAGAAGCGTGTTTGGCAATGTTTGCTGCGTTTACGGAGTTGTTCAAACTGCACTGACTTGTACTTGGAGCTAAATATAGCATTGTGCACACTTTTTGCAAATTTGATTTCCAAATTTGCAGTGCTTGTCTTGAAGTTCAATGTCAATGTGTTATGTTTCCACCGTGTTTGCCCTGTGATACTGCCATATTCCGAGTGACTGCATAGGGAAGTCATTATTTCCCACCGCATGGATTGACATTTTTGTAGCACTATCGGCACTGCTAGCATTATAACTAGCATAATCGCTCCAAATAACTAGCAGTGCTAGTAGCACAATTTCCTCATGTAACTAGCATTATCCGCCGGTGCCTAGTTCAAGTCCTGCCTGGGAGCGGTTTTTCCAGCCGTGCTGCTACCCACAGTCAACTGGGAACTTGTGGCCAGGCACAAGGGGTACATGGATGCAGCTAATGGGGTCGTTTTCGGCACTTGTGCCAGTGGTTGTGAGACTTACCCACTCACCCCCACCGTTAGGCGCTGCATCTGCCGCTAGGGTTTATCGGGTGTTAGCGGCCGTCGTGAGTTCCCTTCGGGAACGGATACGATAATTTACTTTTACTTTTACAAACGCATGCGCAAAAAATAAAATCATTCTCTTTGGTCACAACTTCTTCGTTGTCCGGTTGGCCAAAGTAGCCGTCGTCTAGGGCCCGACGTAAAACCCTAAATTGGTGACCCCGACGTCGGCGGGGGAGTACTGTAGCGACCTGACTCGCTGAGTATTACGTCATTCTACAAACGCATGCGCACTGGCAAAATCACCTAACACGCGCAAAAGGTCTATTTTCGATGACACTGCGGAGGGCATGCAGGGGTTCGGCGAATCGTCTCGTCTCCATGGTGCACATTGGTGATGCACCATGGCGTCCCGTCGCGTCGTGCGTATAAATTTTTTTTGACCGGTGCTTTTATCGTACTTTTTTGAAGTCGGAGCAAAAAAGACTATTGAAAGCGAGGTGAACACACGAACTGTTTGTCGAAGAAGAATGTGAAGATGGCTCTTCAGTTGAGGCAGTTGGGGAGAAGCAGACTACCTTTACTCGTTCACCATCATCGTAGCTACCACTCTCTAAGGATAGTAAAAACACAGAGAAATGTGTTTGGAACACGAACAATGCTGTTCAATATACTGCCAAAGAGTAAACCAGTGGACTCAAGTCTCAACGAATCAGGAACAGGACCAGTCACACAGCGTTTGCCCGATTTCAGCAACTTTCCAGAGTCTGAAGTAGGATCGCTGAAGCCCGTCGCTGATTCAGTCACCAACTTGGCGGAAGCAGGCCTTGGCGACTCGTGGAGTCCAGTCAGCTTAGCACAGCATGGACTGGTGGAGCTTCACAACACGTTGGGATTGCCCTGGTGGGCCTCTATTATGATTGGCGTGGCATTCGCACGTGTGCTCATGCTACCCGCACAGATCTGGAGCTTGAGAACTGCCACCAGAATTCACAATCATTTGCCAGAGGAGATGATCCTACAGCGTAACATGGTCAAAGCAGCGCAGTCCAAAGATCAAGACTTGGCAGTGGAGACCTACCAGAAGCTGACTGCCTTCTATAAGGAGCACAATATCTTCCCACTGAAGCCACTCCGCTCTGCTGTGTACACGTTTCCCATTACAGTCGTGGGTGTTGTGTCGGTTTTAGAGCTGTGCACGTTACAGCCACCATTCACTGGTATGGCAACAGGTGGCTTGCTGTGGTGGTCAAATCTGTCCGTGTCAGACCCGTTCTACGTGTTGCCAGCAGCATGCGGTCTATTGACCATGTTTAATATCAACTCTGGTGCCGAAACAGGTGTACAGCCGGCCGAGCGCCTGCGCAAGTATGTCTGGACCAGCATTCCCGGTGGAGTGTTCATGCTGTGTATGTTCATACCGTCCGGCGTACAGCTGTACTGGGCCACAAACGTCGGACTGGCGATGGTTGTCAGTCGACTAGTCAAGACCAAGCCGGTACGTCAGCTGCTCGGCATTCCAGAGTGGAAGGAGCACTCGCGCGCGTCCATCATACGTGCTGAGGGTGTTGGTGGTGCGTCGTTCATGAATGACTTCAAGCAGGCCGTCAGACTTGCTGAGCTTGAGCAGATGAAGAATGACAAAGAGCTCATGCGTTCGCGCTGGGCTGCAAACCTAGAGCAGAACACTAAGCTGCATGAAGACCTTGTGGCCAGCGCTCGCCTTGAGAAGTTACAGAAACGTGACCAAACCATGGAGGACGGTCGCATCGAGGTACGGCCACGCAAAGAGGACTTGCAAGAAACTGAACTAACACACCGCCAGATGGAAAAGCCGTATATGAAGCGTCCAGCTAGTCGATCTGGTCCTGGACAGAGGCGGTCTAAACCAGCCTGAATCTTTAGTCCACCCAGTCGAACTTTTGAGAGCTATGCGGCTCTGCCCGCTTTTAATATAATGCTTTTTTTAATGTCACAAAATTAGGTTCTTATGCTATACAGACCATGTGCAAGCGCCTTGCCATATTTTATGAACCCATATCTGATAATTTCAGTTCATAAGTCTTGATGGAATCATGCAGCATATTTCACCCCTTTGAGGTGACCATATCAGCTTTTAGGATTTGATTTCATTCTTATTTTTGTGTAGGTTTACACGCGTTGATCGAGTGTGATGGAAGACTAGTGACAGGTGGTGATGCCGAGAGCATGGTATTGTGGGTTTGTTTTGTGATGAAGGAGTAGCAAGGGAGTACGGTCATCCCCTGGCCCTGTTAGTAGTTACTTAGTACGAGTCTGGTTAGTGCATAAACCCCGATAGTACATAAGAAATCTCAAGTCTCGGACGAAACGTGGTCACTTCCATGCCAATGTTGTCGGTTAGTACATAATTCACTAGTACACAAACCCCGTTAGTACCTAGCATTTCCTCCGTACCCGCATGCCACCTACCTCGATAGTTCCGGCACATAATTTGTTGGTCTTTTGGCCTCCCAGTAGAGGCACAATGTGTACCAGTTTCTTCGTGTGGACGCAATTAGCTCAGAAATCAGAGTCCACATCACAAACCGACAAAGCTCCCGATGATTTTTTTCTTCGAGTGATTGTACAGGCGCAGCCGGGCATGCATCATGTAAACTGTAGAATCTCGGCTGAGTGTTAAGCGGGATTCACAGAAGCTTTTTTGCGATGCGATCTGCGACGGACGCGTGCGATGCGAACTCGCGAAATACCATTCACAGAAGAAGTCAGTGATGCGACAACGCCTTGCTGATTTGGGTACGTCACCATAATATTCGCGCGGTTTGATACAACTTGTACAAATTTATAGGCAACTCTTGAACCTTTGTACAACTTTGCTGTAGAAAAGGTCAAAATCCTACACCAAATTGCAAATCGCTTGTCGCATCGCATCGCAAAAGTTGAGCCAAGCTCAACTTCTGCGATGGCATGCGATGGCCCAGTTGCATCAGTTGCGTGGGGTGCGACATGGCTGCGATTTGGGGTTTTCCCGGTTTCGCGCCTGTCGCATCGCAAAAAAAGCTTCTGTGAATCCTTACTGATATAACCAGGGAGTAGTACAATACCGTATACGTTTTTAATAATATTGACGGAATCAAGAATATCTCGCTCCCCAGTCACGGCAGCAAAAAAAACACTCAGAAAAGTTGAAAAAGTGAAAAAAAATTCTGGTACACAACCAAGTATGTAATGCCGACTTACGTTTAGTATTATAAACCCTGTTTTAAATCATACCATTTTATTCTTCAAGTCCCACAGATTGCTGTGGGTCTTACAAACTTTGAGTCTCCCTCGGATCGGAGCACCATTGCTCGATTCGCCAGGGCTCAATTCACTAGAACTGGCGGGTCAATCAAAGCCACAACGTTCTTGTTTCCGTAGAAAGTACTAATTGGCATTGTAGCATGCATATGTAGGTAAAGTCAAGAGAACATGGCCGGTTTCATGTTCTCTTGATTCTACAATGGAGCTGGACTCAGCAAGCATGCGTACACTCTGCAGGCGCGTCCTCTTGCTTCACTGGGCCGATGACCCACAGGGTGGTGTTTATTGTGCCAAGGTACCAAGTTGCACTACAAGACAACCAACTATTAAACAACAATAATAATTTGTGTACAGCGCGGATGAGTGGAAGGAAGAGAATGGTCAAGGACAACAATGTAGCGTGGACTCAAAATTAAATCAATGGTAAATCATTATGAGTCTATTGACTGTATCGTTTCATAAATACTAGTGGTAAATATCCAGGCTGCTAAGCAGAAACAGTACAACATGCCAGTGGAGAAGAGTATGGGGTCTAATGTCAAACATACATTCAACCACTGGCTATGTGTTGGTGACAACCAGACAGGAACATTTAATTAAGAGTATGACGATATAAAAAGAGAGAGAGAAAGAGCGAATGCATGTGCTTAATTAAATAAAAGAGAGAGAGACGAAATAATCAATGACAAGATAGCACACAAGGAAGTGTTCAGTCAGCACCTGACAGTGACCACATACAAACACAATACCCAAACATGCGCACATACATGCACAAACACACACACACACACACACACACACCACACACACACACACACACACACACACTGGGCCTTCCTATGGAAGCCTGCTTCACATAGGCGTCAGAGTAACGAACAACCCTGAAGGAAACTAGTTAACAAATGGGGAGGGCGAGAAGGGGAAGGTATAAATAGCTATGCTACTGCAGCAGATGTAATGCTGTCTGCATGCTCTCTAGTCAAACAGGCGGCGAAGAGAGGCATACATACAGGCATAGATAAGAGGCCAGTGAGGTTGATCCTAACCCTGTGCACAGCACTGGAAGGAGAGAGCTCAACTTGATTCATGTATGGACACATTTCGAGATCTTCTTTTTGATACGTCACCTACAATGAAACAGGAGAAATGGAGAGTCAGTCTCTTTTCCAGTCAAGCTGGGATATGGTGTCTGCAGGCCAGGATACGCCCCAGGTTGCCTACAGGGCTGACCATTTCCCCACGCCAATTTCAGTATCCTGGCAGGATGCATCTAGTGCGTCTGTGCATCGTATTATTGGTTGTTTCTCGTAGTTACATCTCCCGATGGCAACATACATCCAGCTACAGTCCTCACTGAACAAGAAGACAGACTCTAGTGAGGAATGTATGAGAATAGCCTATTAGCACTTCCACATAGCTAATCGCACACTGAACAGTCCATGAGCACTGGAATTTGTAAATACTGGTATGGCCATGCACCGTATACGGAATACAAACAGTAGCAGCAGAAGTGTGTTATGCCCCCAAGGTGCAAGCCAGGGAAAGGACACGAGCGTTCTCCCTGGGGTGCAAGCCAGGAAGAGGGCATGAACGCTGTGATGGGTAGACTTGCCGTCTTTCCCTACACACACACAGCGGTGTCCTCAAAGAATCGGCATTCAATGCAACTTACATTTGAAGATCGAGTCGGTCATAAAGCTCCTGAAGCGTGTGGCATAGAATGATGGCCGGTGCACAGAGACAGTGTCCTATAAAGATGACGACAATAACGACAACAACGACGACGATGATGACAACACAGTGCAGCATGATGGCATAGGGTGATACGATCTCTTATGACCGGCAACCCTCGGAGGGTGAGGGTACTAGTAGTCCGGAAATAACAGTATTTTCCTAGAAGTACCGTAAAAGTCCGTAAATAAGTACATATTTACTTTCGAATTTAGTGACCACACCTGTACTAACTTTCGGGCGGGTACTGACTTTCGGGCACGAACTAACTTTCGGACCTGACTTGTGTGTAGTGGAGAGGTCATTTTCATGTAGATGTACATGCTACGTGCTGCATGTGCGCACCGTACCGGTACTTATTTCGGGCAGTATGTTTATCGGGCTTGACTTGACTTCAACAGACAGAGCCAAAAGAATGAAGGGGGTATTTCTTTCGGGCAGGTACTTATTTACGGACTTTTACGGTAGTTTGGTATTGGGGGTGGCGAGAGGTTCAAGTGCTGTATGCTTTATCAGTGAGTTGGAAAATATCTATGTGATCTCGAGAAAGACTGGGCAGTCGTGCAATAGTCAACACAAATGCATGCGCAGGGGGGAGAGAAAAATCGTTTTGAAGTGATAAAGGCGGTACACATGTAGCCTTTAAACATGCTCCGGGATTGTGTGCTGGTGTGCTGTGGTGTGCTGGTGAATTTTACTTTCACAGCTTGAAAAGGCAAATGCAATTTCCGAACTTCTCGCCTTCACGACCGCCGAAAAAACTTAAAATTATTTCCTGTAAAAATATCGTTTCTGGGTCTATGAATGCTAGAGAACAGCTTAGAACAAAAATGCGTTTTTCCTTCTCCAAAGTTGCCACACATGCATGAAAAACAGCCGATCGAGCCAAAGAAGTTTCAGGGTGTCATCGATTGGCAAATCCGGATTGAGTGCACACAGGTGGTGTGGTCCAAGCAACGCTCGGCCGATCGAGCAAAGCAAAGGTGCAGTATGCATATCGTACAAAGATTCTGTGAAAGCTGTAAAAAGAAGAAGTCAAAGTCCATTTCCACTCCAGCCAATCCCGGTGTGGGTGGATTGCCCTCCAAGTACACCTACTCCGGATTTGGCCAAACAATCATTCGTCCAATCGATCATGCCCCTAAATAATCTCACATTCTGGACATGGACGGTCATAGCTAAGCGGTAAGGCTCCTCTGTTTACAGGACTTGGTCTGCCAGTGCGTGGCTGGTGATCAATACTGGAGAGCCTCACGATTATGAACATCCTATGGACAAAGCAGCATATCTGTACTGTGAAAGAAAGCCTGTCTTGGTTCTAGCAAGAGTACATAACCCCCCAGAGTGTGCAACTCCCACATACCCTGCTGTCCCGTCAGAATTTCAAGTTGACGTCATTATTTATGACGCAATGCTCCTTGCCCCAGTGATTTACAACATGTGTACGGGTGTCAACGCATCACACGTTTTTCTTTCCAATAATTTGTACAGGATCGATCGGCTTCGGTCAACCACAGGTTCCGGATTCGTCTGATAATCCGTGTACTGTGCGCATTGCATCATCAAAATGACGTCAACTTGAAATTCTGTCGGGACAGCACCCATAGTGGAGTTGCACACTCTGGGGGGTTATGTACTCTTGGTTCTAGCTATACACTTGGTACTACTGTAAAGTACCGCCAGAGCGCCCCGTCTTGCGAGAGCGCCCCACCTTGATTTTACAGCCAAGGGAAGAAAATCGTACGGCAGAATGCTACTGAGTTTGTACGATTTGAGAACCTTCGTGTACTAAGGTCACACTTGGCATGCTTTTATGTGGAGCTCGAAGGTAAACTGGGTATGGATTGACTGCACAATGTGCAATGTTTGTACAAGGTCCGTATGGTATGACCTACAGACAGGAATCCACCTCCACAAGGCGGCCACGAAAGGACGAGATGGTGGGGCGCTTTGGCGGTACTTTACGGTAGTAGTGTAAGCGGTATGTTAATCCCGAGCATGGACTTTGAGAGGTGTACACTAAGGGAGGCTTTGCTGTATATGAAGAGTAGAAGCAGAAACCCAAAACTCACCCCATCTGCCATTAGCGACTTTACACTGTGTTCCATCTTCTTACGCAGCCTACAGCAAACAAACACAGCAAGAGGGCCATGAACAAACCAACATTACGTACAAACACAGGCTTCTAAAGCAGAGACTTTCCGCCAGGCATCACAGAAGCAAATTCTCATGGTACGAGTACATGTACAGAGAAAGTCACAAAGAAAAATTTAATCTATCGCCAATGAGTAGATTGGCGATTTCTGGCTTGCCATTCCGTTGCTACTCAGTCATAGTTTTGTCCCATAGCAAAGAACTTTGCATTCCTGAAAGCCGGGATCAAGAAATTTCCAACAGTGTACTACAAGTGCACTTCATTCTACACTAAGCACAAGATTTACATGTACATAGCCAGTAGTACACAGGACGGGCTGCCAACATCGCAGCAGTCAACTCCAGGTCAATGCAACCGATTTTTTTCATGTGGACAATTTGTTGGTTCGATATCACTTTGAAAAGCAGCGGTTAGTAGTGGTCGGACCGGTCCAATGGTTATTTTGAGCCCTGCTTAGGGCCATCAGCTAGCGTGGACCACATGTTTGTCAACTCCAGGTCAATGCAACCGATTTTTTTCATGTGGACAATTTGTTGGTTCGACATCACTTTGAAAAGCAGCGGTTAGTAGTGGTCGGACCAGTCCGATGGTTATTTTGAGCCCTGCTTAGGGCCATCAGCTAGAGTTGACCACATGTTTGTCAACTCCAGGTCAATGCAGCCGATTTTTTCATGTGGACAATTTGTTAGTTCGATATCACTTTGAAAAGCAGCGGTTAGCGGTGGTCGGACCGGTCCGATGGTTATTTTGAGCCCTGGTTAGGGTCATCAGCTAGAGTTGACCACATGTTTGTACAAGTTGTACCAGACTGTACAAATGCCACAGTCATGTACAGCATGCATTACACTTTGAGAAAGATCACCAAATCGACGTCACTCCGCTGACTTCTTCTGTGAATTTTATTTCACAAATTTGCATTGCTCCTATAGGCGTCACAAGATGCATGCACTGCGCATTGCATTGTAAAATCGTTCTGGATCCTGCTTCAGGCTCGTTGACAATGAGGAAGCTACAGATAATTTACATGCCCACAAGAATTTTATTTCACAAATTTGCATTGCTCCTATAGGCGTCACAAGATGCATGCACTGCGTATTGCATTGTAAAATCTTTCTGAATCTTGCTTCAGGTTCGTTGCCTATGAGGAAGCTACAGATAATTTACATGCCCACAAGAGGTACACAAAGGACAGTAATATATAAGGTTTTATTGTGGTTGTAACTCAGAGTGTCATGGTTCAGCCACAGTCATCACGTTGTTTCCTTTGTGTACTGCTCTTGTGTACTGCTCTTGTGTACTGCGTGGCTCTGCCAATCCCCGGCATTGAGCACTCGATCTAGCAGGCTAACCCTTTGAGGCCCATAGTACGGATACATCCGTATCAGTGTACAGCGCTTGCTTCTCAAAGCGCAACCTGGCGTAACTCGGCTGTCCCTTTGCCAAATCGGACGATCGAATCTATCAGCATCACAATTTTCTTAGCTATCGCCTCGAAACCCCGAAGGCGACCCGAGGTTGGAGAGTGGCGATATGAGCCTCGAACTAAATGCGCTCAGCGGAGTCAACTCTGACGCGTGCAGTTTGAACTCATTAGAGAGGTTCCGCACTACGTAAAGTTGAGCAACTTTAAGTTAGTGGGCGGGAAAAACCTGTGAATTCGCGAGTCTGCACTCCACTTATGGAAAGTTGTCTACGGAGAGTACGTAGATAGGGCTCTGATACCGTAGGTCGTCCGTAAGTGGATTGGGGTACAAATTTATGACTCTCTCCCCAGGTCGATCAGGTCGTACACTGCCGCGTTCGGGTTGCCAAGGGCAGTTACGTGATTTGAAAACTCCGTATTGTGGAACACAGATCCGTATGCAGTTTACGTAAGACTTTCTGTAGATCGCCTAGGTTTTTTACTAACGTAATTACGCGGAACCTCTCCATTTTTAGGGGTTTATCCCCCCCCCCCCGACGCGTGGCCCTCACAGCGACAGTAAGTTCACATCATTGCAAAGGCACGGTTCTGAGCTCTCATGTCAAAAAAATGAGCGATCTGCGATACAATTTGTTGAAATGGCCGATAATTTGAGTTGGGTGCTCGCAATGCTGGTTTTGGAGCGCCAAATTGCTGTGTTCATTTGGCCAAGAGCTTTCCAGAAAGCCTAGGACCACCAAAATCGGCCAAAGGACAACAAACTTACGACCAGATAAGTACATGGGCTCGAGCGCGCGCGCGTATGCAGTGCATTTCTTGAAATATTTAAGGCACACTGCCTCTCTAACTATTTACATGCCTTTATGTTTTGCAATAACCCCAGTATTGTACGTGTGAACCTATGACTTTCCTAAAGACGAGCGGGAATGCACCACAGGATTTAGACTTACTCATAGCTTTGTAGTACATCAATGATACCAATAAAGAGGAGAAGACGATCGCCATTGCTGTTTTGTGCTGGGATACCACCGGGCCTATAACACAGGAGTAGCAAAACAAGCTAGATGTTAACAATGAGCACGGAAAGCCTACCGATCCTGAGTTGTATTGTTTTAAACAGCAACAAAATGTTTCCCTAAGGGTTGGGTTCCACTGCGGCCCCGCTGCACATCATCTGTGGGATGAAACATTCCTATTACATGTACCATAGTGACCGCGGCTCGAGCTGGTGCAGCGAGGTCGCGGCTCACCACCAGCTTTTGCGCCGCTGCTTGATCAAAACTGCTCACCGCGGTCGCAGCTCGGTCTTGTTTCCCGCACTTTGCGCAATTTGCATTGTTTTAGACGTATGAATTTTCAAATTCAAATTTTAGTTCGTTGCGCAGGCCAGAATTAACTAGAACACGGGGATTTTTTTGATTCATGCGCACGCGCACGCAGGCAGGTAATAAGTCATCAAAAAACGTTGAGAACAAGCGTGGTACCGTGAATGTCGAGTGTCAGTGGAACTGTGGTGCTCCGCTGCAAGCCGCAGCTTCGGGACTTGCAGCGGAGCCGCTGTGGAACCCGGCCCTTAGTCTCGACGCACCAGCACCAGTCATCTCCTGCTTACGGGCTTGCTGCTGCTCACATGGCCACTCTACTACTACTACTACTACTACTACTACTACTACTACTACTACTACTACTACTACTACTACTACTACTACTACTACTACTACTACTACTACTACTACTACTATACGCTGTGGCCATAACGCCTCTCATACGCCGCTTGGGAGAGCTCTGCCCCGATATCGTGCAGGAGTGGTACGCTGACGACGATTCCGCTGCTGGCCGTGTCCGGTCTCTGTTACGCTATTGGAACAGTGTGAAGGAGCTTGGCCCGGCCTACGGATATACCCCTAACCCAACGAAAACGGTGCTGCTGGTCAAGGAGGAGTGTTTGGAGGAGGCGTCCACCCTGTTCGCCGGCACCGGCATCAAAATCATAACCTCCGGTTGTCGATATCTGGGAGGAGTGCTCGGCACAGGAAGCTTCAAGGCCGCGTACCTTAAGGAGGCGGTATCCGCCTGGTGCAGGCAGGTGGTGAACCTGGTATCTGTGGCCCGTACTCAGCCTCATGCAGTTTACGCCACGCTGCAGGGTGTCTATTCCAAGTGGCGCTACGTGCTCCGAGTGGCATCCTGCCCGCCTGCGTTACTAGAGCGCCTGGATACCCTGGTCAACCGCGACCTGCTACCCCTCCTCTTGGGTCGGGAGGTGCCTGATGAGGCAAGCCTTCGGCGACTCCTCTCAGTGCCCACCCGCCTTGGAGGCCTAAACATCCCGATTCTGGCGGCTGAGGCGGAGCGGGAGTATTCCACTTCTGTTGCGGTGACGGAGCCGCTTGTACGTCTGATGATCGGTGATGGTTCGGGGAGTGCCGTGCCCGATGGCGAGGAGGTGTCTTTGGCATCGCCTCAGAATCCACCATTGTCAGTTGCTTCTGCTTCTGTTGCGTCCGTTCGTGATCCTCCTGGACCTGTGACCCGGCCAGAACTTGGGGTCCACACCACCCAGCCGGTTCGTGATAACCCGTCTGTCGCAGCCGCTACCGAGTCCCGCAAGCAAGCGGTCTCATGTCGCAAGGACAAGGAGAAGTCGCAGAAGGCACTAGTCGCGGCGTTGTATCCCGATCTGCCCCCGCCTCAGCAATGCCTCACAAATATCGCCGGTGAGAAGGGCGTGTCGTCATGGCTGACGTGTGCCCCGCTTACTGCGCACCGGACAATCCTGAATAAGTCCGACTTTCGAGATGCGGTGTGCATACGCTATGGGTACATGCCACTGGATGTCCCGTGCAAATGCGCTTGTGGAGCGGACACCACCCTACACCACTCGATGACGTGTCCACATGGGGGTACCCGATGGCACGTCACGACGAGATCCGGGATACCCTGGCGGCTGTCCTTGGCGATGTCGTGCCGGACGTGGAGGTTGAGCCTAGATTGCTCCCTCTCGATGGCGAGGTGCTCGCCGGCCGGACCGCCAATCGCAGCGCTGAAGCTCGTTTGGACATCAGGGCCGGGGGTTTCTGGACAAGGCAGCAGGACGCTTTTTTTGATGTCAGGGTCACCCACCCTAAAGCGTCCCTGCTGTCGCGTTCGGAAGCCCTTGGCCAACTGCGCACCAACAAGTTGGAGAAGAAGCGGAAATACTGCCAGAGGATCACGGACGTCGAGCGAGGTGCCTTCACTCCGTTGGTGTTTGCCACGAATGGCATGGCTGGGGCAGAGTGCGGAATGTTCCTGAAGCGGCTTGTTCAGCGCGTGGTGGAGAAGCACCCTGACCTACAGTACTCCGTCGTCATGCACCATCTTCGTGCCAAGATTACCTTCTGTCTCCTCCGCTGGGCCGTAACCTGTCTGCGTGGATGCCGGGGAGCTCGGGGCGTACGCCGTGGCAATTCGTTTGTCACGGAGTGCAGGCTGCTCCGGTAGTGGCATGGGGCTGTGTGGCCGATCCTAAACGGATGTTGTGACGTAACGGACATATCTGTTTTTGAGCATGTCTTTGTTTTTTTGTTTTTGTTTCTACTTTTATAATAGTTTGTTTTGTTTATCGGACAGATCGAAATAAGCATTCACACGCAGACAAATTATACATCCACCACCCTATTGGTTTATGATGTTTTTACACATATACCCCCAATAGGCTATTTATCAGACTCGAGTTTTCAACTTACACATTACACATTCACCACTCAATCGGCTTTTGGTTTGTTCACACATACGTACCATACGCGATCTATTGGACTTGAGTTTTACCTTGTGTCCTTTTTTGCAGTCTGCAGATTTTTTTGTTGGACATTGTTTATTGAGGTTCTTGTTGCTTTTGGTTTACGCATATGCGTCATTTGCCCGTAAAAGAGGCCCTGTTACTACTACTGCTGCTGCTGCTGCTGCTGCTGCTACTACTACTACTACTACTACTACTACTACTACTACTACTACTACTACTACTACTACTACTACTACTACTACTACTACTACTACTACTACTACTACTACATCAGCAAGAATATGAACAGCATGGGCACAACTCAATGCCCTGGAATATCACATGGACTTCAGGGATGAATTTATCCTGTATCGCATCGCAGTTTGCGATGCAAAATCGATCTACTGCTACTCAAAAGTCGCCGTGACCCGCCGAAAACTGCGATACATACAGACTATCCATGCCTAGCCTGTGCTGTCAAGTAACATGCATACAGTGCAGTGTATGTGGTGCAGGCACTCTCAATCTGCATTCACATGTATGATTCAGTCGTTTTTTTGCAAATGGGCTTTCAGGCATCACTCTCCAGAAGGACAATGTGGTAAACACCCAAACTTCAAAGAAAAATGCTAATCAAAATCAAAGACTGGTACACAATTGTGATTTTGTATAGCAGAAACTGCTATGCAAAAATATGACAATAAATTCATCCCTGGACTTAGTCTCAGCATTCATGCGACATGGGGTCTTTGCTACAAAACATCCTCTCCTCCATCAGCAAGAGATGATACAGGACAAGTGTTGAGACTGAGCTCAGTAAGCTGCAAGCAAAGCAATGGGCAAATGGTTGTGCCGAAGTGGCCGGCTTCGAACACTAGGTTCTATGGCACAACAGTACTTACGGCACATCATACGTCACGTCACCGTATCTTGTAGGACTGTCATCGTTGCTGGCGATCAGCGAAAACTCTTTCCGGCGACTGACGGCACTGGCTGGTGCAGACAACTTGCGATCCAGGTGGCGCTTCGTGGACGGAGTGCTGGCCCCTGGCTGGGTGACATCTAGCGTGTTCTTGCCAGAAGCTTCGGAAGTACCAGTGGGTTCGGATTCTTCGGCGGAAGTGATGTCCGGCGTTTCATCAAGCGTATCCATGTTTTCTTGAGCCTGCGGGAAAACAAGAGAGAGTAGGGGAAAGAGTGATCGAACTCATGGTGTTAGCATACAAGTGAACCAGGGACTGAGAGTTGAGAGGTCACCTAGTCTGCAAGACAACTACATGCTGCCACCAGCAAATGTGCAGAATGTGCACTGGTCACCTAGGTCATAGACACTAAATGTACCTGCGTTCAAACACCACAATAGGCTGATTCCTTGTGTGGTCGCCGAAAAAGGTTTCACTTGGACACTAGTTGTAGCACACTGATTCACAGACTTAATTAAAGCAGCTACAATTTTACAATTTTAATTTATTAAAAACCTGCTTGCTCCTGAGAAGTTCTCTGACGAGAAGCAGAGAATAGTTAATAAACGGTACCTGCCCATGATGAGTCCAGACATCAGAGGAGTGAACGACTACGCAATCGACAAGCGAGTGAATCAAGTGGTGACAGCACAGCTAAGTTCAACTTACCAGTTCAGTACCCTTGGCTTTCTTACACCTGAGCTCTTCATCAATATTGTGTACTCCAAGTAGCATACTGTAGTCCATGATAGCAAAACTCTCCAGGAGCTGTGAGCAGTGCAATACAAGAAATGAGCAAACACAATCACCATGTCTTTCGTATATGCACAGTTCTGTGGAAATTCCTACACAGTATACTGTTTTCACCAGGAGCTGCCCAAAAGTAGAACTGCAGTAGAGAACTGCCAAAGAACTGAGAGCGAGAAAGGGAGAGAGAGAGCAGGCATTTTTGTAATAAGATTGAGTGTTGGGTGAACCAATGGCACGAACAGCGTAACAAACCCCCCAATTACGCAAGAAACCTACGGACACAAGGAGATTCTCTTACCGTTGTATCGCGACGTATGGACTCCATGAGGCTGATATGAACCTCAGGCTCCAGTAGTAGTCCCTGTGCATGTACCAGAGTCAACATGATGCGTTACTTCTAGTCAGAATTCAGAGAGTGGAGTTCTCCGGTTCAATAGAGTGCTCACTACTCATAGGTCGACCAAAGCTACAGTGCTGCTCAATGATATCCCGTCACGTTGTCACTCAAGTACACGCCGGGCGTTGCGCAGCCCTAGACCTGTGAGCACTGGGCTGAGAAATGGTGCAAGGCGCAAACTTGAGTGACAAGACTGGATTTACACACCTACAAGTCACAGAGCACCGCGAGTCTTGTGAAGTTGTAACGGATACTTCGAAGTAGTTTCATGCCAGCTCATGGCAAACCTCAGACAACTGATAACTGGTTATCAGTTGTCTGAGGATTGCATTAACCAACGCGTGGTGCTCTATGACCCATGCCGTCATAATTCATGTACTTAATATTTTGGCTTTTTGCACTGCAATGCATTTTCGGGGGAGCATCAGCCACGGCGTTTCCAACTTTTTCAGACATCAAATTGCGGTGTATACCCTGGAAGATTTAAAACATCTGTAATTAGACTGGAAATGTGCCAGCTCAATTGTACGACTAGTACTTCTTTCGTACAACATAGTACACGTAATGTAAGCATGGCACCGCAGGCACAGAACATTTCACAGGCAAGAGTTACAAATATGGAAACATGCAAAGATACAAGCAAACTCTCCATTTGAGGACAGGCTGTATGTTCTTCCCTTGGCTGATAAAACTGAAGTGGTCACCCCTAGTCTATACATGTAGTGCCTTACATCCGGATGATTCTTCAGAAAGTCCAGATCCTTCAGGGTGGGACTCTTTTTAGTGCGTTCCTTTGGTGACGCAAACCTCTTGAAGGTGGATCCCTACGACAAAGATATAACACAGATATAACGAGCATGAGAGTAAAGAAAGTGAATACCAGGGGAGCAGGCAGCACCTGTCCAACCAACAAACTGCGCGTAGCCACCGTAGGGTTGGACTGACGGTGATTGGCTTTGAACCCAAGCAAGTATGTACCGGCATAGTATTCAAGTGTTTGCCCATAGAGAACACTGTGTTTGTGTGATGGTTGGGCAAATATCCTGGCTACCATCTTGGATACTACGTTGAAGTACAAGTACAACATGGATGGCAACACTACATACAAACTGAAGGAAGCAGAGTATCACAACATTGTAGCCTGGTACAAAGTACTAGTACCTTGTCACCACTGGGCTTTTACAACAAAAAGACCAGCGCACAGTGATAGTGTTGCAAAAGAAGGATCCATGAGCGGGATTCGAACCAAGCACCCCTGTCTTTCCACCAAAGTTTCCGGAACAGTGTCCTACCGATTAGGCTACCGGGGATCACACACACACGCACGCACGCACACACACACCCGTGGTTCCTTCTTGCCACACTGCTCCTCGCCCAACAGGCTGTGTCCTCACATCATACCTACTCGCAGGGTACAATGGGTCGTGGGCTTGAGCCATTGCCAGGCGCCAATGTTGCTGCTTGCAAAAGAAGGACCCACGAACAGGATTGCACCCCGTCTTTCTGGGACAGCACCCCATCGACTAGGCTACGTGGATCACACACACACCCGTTGCTCCTTGCTTCAATAGTGGCTGGCCATGATGGCATAACCGTGCTAACATCAAGAGTGTATAAGCTCCCAAGAGTGTGTAACCCCTGATACCCTTTCTATGGGGTCCACCGATGGCAAAAACTCACAACACGTGGTGCAGTGTTCCCGCTGTACGTCTCTAGCCCGTTTGGCGAGCAGTGGAGTAATAAAAACAGCACTCTCTGACAGAAGCTCACTGCGCTTATGCACCTTCCAAGCATGATCATGGCAGATATGCGGATAGCACGTACGCTATCCTTCGTTGTAAGTAGTAAGAAATGTACCTGAAACAAGTGGTGTGAGTTTTCACTGCGGAGACCCTGTATGCAGAGTTGCACACTCTTGGGAGCCTATTCACTCTCGATAACATTATACTGTACCACATAGTGATAGTTTGAAGGGCAACAACAGCTGGGGACAATCAACAAGCTCTGCATGTACAGGACAAATGCTGAACGCATGAGTGTATTCAAGCACCGAACACTACCTCTGTCAGTCTGTGTAGTCATACACGTATTTCTAGAGATTTACAGCTCTTCTAGTCGGTAAATGGCTACTAGTACTTATCAAGGAAATCCACACGCTTCATGAGCACATTATCTACGCTCCCCATGCGTGATGAACCTTCGTACCTTCAGGTCATACTTCTCGTGGTACGCTATGCATGAAGGCAGCAAGTTATTCATGACCACTATGCGAATGCTGCGCCGATGAAACAAGTTCTGTACATAAGGAGAAGCAGAAGGTAGCAGTCAATACAGTTATCACAACCTAGGCTATCGACCGGAATGAACATCATAATAGAATCGTATACTACCCAATGGTATACAATTGATATTGGTGACACTGGTGCCAACAACACCAGTTACTTGAGTTAGTCTGCGTGTGCAGGTGTACTTGAATTTTAAAGTGTGAATGTTTTGCATCAAAAAGCTCAGGAGAACACCGACATTCAACCCCTGTAACTAGCAGCAGTATCAGGCACCAATACAGTGTAACGGGCATATGTGAACAGAGCGGGCGTGTAGCCTTGACCTGCCCACACTGTACTATGCACTGGTGTGTGTGTGTGTATGTGTGTGTGCGTGTGTGTGTGTGTGTGTGTGTGTGTGTGTGTGTATGTGTGTGTATGTGCGTGTGTGTGCGTGTGTGCGTGTGTGTGTGTGCGTGTGTGTGTGTCACCAACAATCCATTGCCAGAGCATTGGACGAGGCATCATTGAACATGACTGCAGAACGCTTGCTACACGTGCAACCCACCCACGCGTGCTCACACATACACACCCACCCACCCCCCACACTTCAACAGTAGAACAAGAAATACAAGATTGAGCTTGCTCGTCTACACTTCACTATGCTGGGCAAAGGTCAGCGAGGACGCCGATGAGATTCACGACGAGAAAGACAGCCAAGCAACTCAAAAGCAATAACATATGTGAGGTAATGAGGAGCATGGACATGTTTCCAATACATACCTCGTAGCAATACAGGCCAAAAAACTTTGGCAACAGCGTCTGCTTGTTCTGAATAAGATTCTGAGCACACAGATGTATGAGAACAGGAAACACTAAGCTGCTTGGTAGTACGTTTACCTGATTTTAATCCTCCCTAATCAATGGTGGGTTGAAATCAGCCTTACACAATTAATAAGCGCAATGCATCCTGCAGAATTTGTGAACACAGCTGGTCGAAACTCAACCCTGGTTGGAAAATATCATGCAAACACAGCCTCAAGCAATGTTCTAGGTTAACTTTAAGCACTGACTGACCATGTAATATCCAGGTAGAAGATGCTGCAGAAACTTAGATTCCTTTCTCTGCACTGTCTTCATGATGAACTCATCATCGTGTGTTAGATAGAAGATAGAGCCACTAGCACCAGGGTTACTGAGTTCGCGCAGCGCCTCATTGCATATCGATATCTGAACACAAACACAGAAAAGCAAAAAACATGTGTAGACAATCTGGGATTTAATGCAGTACATAATGTACATTTCGCTCCTGCTCTTGTAGTAGTTGAGCACTCTTGC